GAGATGAAAACCACCAAGGTCCCCCTGTTTGTGACCTTCGATGACTCCTCATCGCCCACACCAAATTCCTGGCTTGGCGTCTGCTAGGGAAGCCCACATGGCCTGGCGCAGTCTCTCCAGCCTCTCTCAGCACCCCTGCCTCCAACGTCATGCCCTGAGGATGATACAGAGTCGCTTGTAGCTTTCCAACACCCCATCCTGTCCTGTCCCACCCCCTCTGCCTAGAGGGTTCTTCCCATCCTTCCTCACCTGGATCATGCTAATTTGTCCTTCAAGACTGAGCCCAGCTATCACCTGGCTCAGAATACCTTCCCCAGAGCCTCAGGGTAGGGACATGTTTCTGCTGCATTCTGCCCTATTGTCTCATGACTTACGAACAGCAGGTTGGGATTGTCAGTTTGGGAGTCTTTCTTCCCCATTAGCTTATAATCTTATCAATATTTTAGTTCCCTTTGTACAGTGCCTAGCACACAGTAGGTGCTCAGTTAATGTTGTTGACCAGAACGTAACCCCTTCAGAGCAGGGATCACGGCTTTTTCATCCATGGACCCCTAGCAGGCACTCAAATGTTCCACAGGTCACACTTCTGGTCAATTAATCTAAGACAAAAGAAGCAAGAATATATAATGGAGAAAAGACAGTCTCTTCAACAAGTCATGTGGGAAAACTGGCCATATGTAAAAGGATGAAATTAGAACATTCTCTAACATCATCTACAGAAATAAACTCAAAATGGATTAAAGACCTCAATGTAAGACCGGATACTGTAAAACTCCTAGTGGAACTGGCAGAACACTCTTTGACATAAATTGCAGCAATATTTTTTTAGATCTGTCTCCTAAAGGAAAGAAATTAAAAGCAAAAATAAACAAATGGGACCTAATTAAACTTTAAAGCTTTTGCACTGCAGAGGAAACCATCAACGAAATGAAAAGACAACCTACTGAATGGGAGAAAATATTTGCAAATGATATGACCGATAAGGGGTTAATATCCAACAAATATAAACAGCCCATACATCTCAATGTCAAAAAAACAAACAACTTGACTTAAAAATGGGCAGAAGAACTAGACAGACATTTTTCTAAAGAGGAAATGCAGATGGCCAACAGGCACATGAAAAGATGCTCAGCATCACTAATCATCAGGAAAATGCAAATCAAAACCACAAAGAGATATCACCTCACACCTGTCAGAATGGCTATAATTAAAAAGAACACAAATAACAAAGGTTGGTGAGGATGCGGAGAAAAGGGAACACTTGTACATTGTTGATGGGAATGTAAATTGGTGTAGCCCCTGTGAAAAACAGCATGGAGGTTTCTCAAAAAACCAAAAATAGAACTACCATATAACCTAGCAATCCCACTCCTGGGTATATATCAGAAAAATCAAAAACACTAATTTGAAAAGATACATGCACCCCAATGTTCATAGCAGCACTATTTACAATAGCCAAGATATGGAAACAACCTAAGTATCCATCAACAGATGAGTGGATAAAGAAGAGGTGGTATATATATATATATATACACACACACACACATATACACAATGGAATACTACTCAGCCATAAAAAAGAATGACGTTTTGCCATTTGCAGCAACTTGGATGGATTTGGAGGGCATTATGCTAAGTGAAATAAGTCAGACAGAGAAAGACAAATACTGTATGGTATCATATACATATGAAATCTAAAAAAAATATAACAAACTAGTGAATATTACAAAAAAGAAGCAGACTCATAAATACAGAAAACGAAACAGTGATTACCAGCGGGGAGGGGGAAGAGGGGAGGGCAAAGTAGGATTAGGGAAGTAAGAGGTACAAACTATTATGTAAAAAATTAGGTAGAAGGATACATTATACAACATGGAGAATATAGCAAATATTTTACAATAACTGTAAACAGAGTATAACTTTTAAAAATTGTGAATCACTATATTGTGCACCTGTCACTTATATAATATTGTACATCAACTATACTTTAATTAAAAAAAAAAACTGCTCCACTGGTGAAGGCTGCTCTCTTTGACAGCCACAAAGGGAAAAAGGGAAGAGAGTTCTGACCACACAGCTTCTAAATGTACCATGGAGGTCAGGCCGGGTAGGACCTGCGCACCAGCATTCCATCCCCAAGTGGCATGCATTCCAAGCATGAGATTTGCAGGTAGGAAGCTCTCTGGTAAATATTAAAGAAAATAATCCACAGGATCGGCAGAGGACTGCAGATCCTCCCATGAACTCTCTCACGCCACCAACGGTCATGATCAACTCAATAAACGGTATTATTACCAATTAAGGAAATGATGGTGAAGAAAGAAGCCTTGTTAGGGCTGAGAATGGACACCGGCTTCCCCCAGGGGGCTCCACCTGCTCCCCTGGAAGAGCCCTCCGACCCTGCTTCCCACCGAGCCTGCGCATCGACCCTCCTCCCGGGCGGTCTCCTTGCACCGATCTTGCTAGCTCGTCACTGTTTCTGCAACTGCAGAGGATGAACAGCTCCAGAGGCATGCCGGAGCCAACAAGAGGAGCCTCTGTGGAGGCCACTGGGTCTCTAGAGGGTGGGGGGTCCGCATTTTGAACACCCACCTCCTGCTAACCCTCCCGCAAAACCAGTCAGGCTGGTTGCAATGTATTATTAGAAAGCCCA